CAGAATAACTATGCAAATAACGATCTAAAGTCGAACCATTCGAGCCACAATATTAACATAAAAATGACTTTCGTTGCATTTGACAATGATAAACTTACCGAAAAGCCGTGTTATTCTCGGTCGCTAACGTCGGTATAATCCGCCATTTTATTTAAGTGTGTCCGCCCGGTGACGTCATCATGTGCGCTATAGAAGGAGGTATGTGATTCGTTGACTAAAATCGTCGATAGTGGGTCTCGTTGAAATCACGTTACATAGGCATCGGCTCAGATGTAGGTAGGGCGGAATTAAAAAAATCACAAAATCAAAATCAAAGTAAAATAATAAAATAAAATAAAATAAAATAAAATAAAAGGGCATTAGTAACAAAAGTAATAACAAATAAAATTAAAATAAGTTTATAGCCAAAATAATTAAAGCCCGTACACTACATCAGATTTTAATCAGATTGACCTCAAGACATGCACCGCTCATTTATCCCACATTTTGCTCACTTTTCATAATTTTCATAATAATAAGAAATATCACAAGCAGGCTCGAAGAACGGCTAAATATTTTTTAAAAATTCCTTTTTTCAGGTAGTTTATCTAGTGGGCAGTTGTCTTTTTCTCTCATTTACAGTGTTCTGACATGCTGCACTAGTAGCTTTTGGTTAAAACTGGATTTTGTTTACAAATCTGTACCAGGGTGGAAACTCAATATATGTTTTTGTATAATTCTCTGATTTGGAGGGGGGGTGTAATACATTTATCTGTTGGATGCAAGAAGACAATGTTTTCAATTTTTTGACTAGAAAAGTAGAATAATTTTAAAAGTAGATGATTTGTTCCAATTGCAATCATGCATACACAAGGAAAAATTTATTTTCAAATATTTTGCTTTCGTATGTAGATTTAAATAGTGCCCGAACATGTGGATGGGACTTAGTGCTTGGTTGGGGGTCAGTTCAATGTTTAAAGAAATAAGGGTATGTTTTGATTGCAGTTAAAGCAGGAGGGTAGTCACCTGCGCATGCGCGGGAATTGAGTTCCAAACAACGATAACATGCGCTTAAAATGAAAAGGCGCATGGGTAAACGCTTGTTTGTAAACAATGACACGCTATGGCAATCTGACGCATGCGCAGGTGACGAGTCCCCCACTTTAAATGCAAGTTTGTGGGACTTTGATGAGTATGTCCCATTGATTTATTTGATTTATCTGTGTTCATATTATAACATATGCTTGCAGTATTTGTACATGTATCGCTATTTAAAGATGCACTCATCTGCACTCTTTCTAACTGTAGAAACGACTGAATGATTAAATTACGAACTGTAAATCGCTTAATTTTAACTGCTAGGAGTTTTTGCGATTTGATATTTCAGTTGAATAGACCATTTTCCGTTCACTGCGAGAATCACGCGTTATGCGTGAAATCGAACGTAAAAACAGGACAAACAAAGGTCATAGCGTCGTAGTGGCGTCAAACATCGCGTGGGATTCGACAAACGCGAAAGTATTTTGGGAGACATTTCCATGCTTGTAATGTGCTGTCCACATTTGATGATAGGCAATTTCGATTAAATAAGGGTATTCGGAAGCAATATTCCTCTGTCCAAGATCGGCCGAACGATGTGAGCTACGAAATAAAGAAATTCGGGTTCAAAATCAAATCGTTCGATTTTTGCGGCAGACGTTCGACGTGCGTCTTTCATGCATCTCGCGAGATCTCGCAATTGTACGGAAAATCACCTATTGGTGAAGACAAAACTGTTTTGTCCAACTGCAAAATTGAAACAGTTTACAGTTTGTAACCATGAAGAATATGGATCTCTGAAAACCACTAAAAAATGTAACCTAGTTCTACAATTTTTGTTCACATCAGAGTCAGCAAGCAACGCTATTAAAATATTTACTGTTACTTTATTAATCTGTGTTGCCTTTTAATAGTTAACCCAAGTACTCTATAGAATACTTTACAACCTGTCAACATTAAAAATGCTTTGATTAATTTTAACAATATTGTCTTTCAAAGACCTAGTACTCTGTTCGTTGTTACATCTATCATATGGATGATAATAAGTTGACTGCTATCACATTTATAACCCATGTGACCCTTTTAAGGGGTATAATGTGCAAGATGCTATGTATTAAAGGCTTACTTGTATTGCTCCACTTGCATTGGAAGAACATTTTTTGGTTATCACTGTTCACTTTCAGTTGTGTTTTATCAAAGTTTTTAAGCCCTGCTTTTTGTTTACAATTATATTTGTATTTTTTGGTCATCAAAGTTGTATTCACACTTTGCAAATAGGGGAGGAACCATCTCCTTACCAATATATACACAATAAATTAGTGTAGATCGTGGATGGTAAGAACTAATTTTTGCTACTGATCTCTTCAAATGAAAGGTGTAGTTTGTGGTTGAATATCTATCTTAGTATTTTTACACATTTTGTGTTTTATTTGCAAAGTGTAAATGCAACTTTAATTGAACTGATCAACTAGGGTCATCTGGTTTATTGATATTACAAAATTCTGGAGTCAATACGAAGCTACTTATAAGATTGTACCTGATTGGCCACCCAACCCCAACACCTAACAGTCAGACCAATCAGAGAGCAGCTTATTTGCTGACAGGTTTTTACAACATATCAAAATATTTCTAGTATATATATGCTTCGACTCAATTCTGTAGAATCAGATTGATTTATAGTACTAGTATCAGGTATTGTAAAATGACTAATTTTCACTGGGTTTAAATTTCGCTGATTTACCATTTCTGGCATATTCGGTGGGTTTTAAATTCACGGTTTCATCATTTAGATAATGTGTTCTATGCTAAATCTTACATATTCACTGGGTTTTAATTTAGCGCATTTTCCAGTCAGTTAAATAAGCAAAATTAAAACCCAGTGAATAATTAACCCTTTTACAGTCGCTTGCTATGAAATCTAATTCCGAACTACTGGTAGTACCACTATGGCGGAACCACATCACCCATTAAGGTGCTAAGCAAACATTTTTTATGTCAAGTATATCAACCTTACTGTAATGTAAACAGTGCTTCAACATAAATGCTAAGCTAATACTTCAACAAGTCTGTTTTAGAATAGAAGATTTTATTCGTTCACTGCAAGACCTAGCGAATTGCGTGAAAGGTGTGGACTGAACATCACATGATTTGATTTCAAACTTGAATTTCTTTTTTATAGCTCAATGATCTTTTAGAGGAGAATATGGTATTGAGATGCCCTTACTTCATCAAAATTGACCATAATCAAATGTGTATAGCATATTATTAAGCGTGGAAATACCAAATAAATACTTTTGCACTTGTCAAATCCCATGTGATGTTTTGACGCCAATGCTATTTTATGATCTTTGTTTGTTCTGCTTTTACATTCAATTTTACACATAATGCAGGATCTTGCAGTGAACGGAAAATTTGTCTAATGGTTCTTGTGGATAATGATGTTCAATGTTCACAATTATGTTTGGTCACATGCTTGGAAGTATTCAGTTGATATGGTGTGATGCAAATAGTGTATTGCATGAGTGAAAAAAAACACAAATATTCAGTGACTTTGATTCAAATATGAAAAATTATTGCTATACTATTTGCTGAATCTTTCAAGACATGGGATTAAATCATTTGTAAAATGATTGTAGTAAACAAGTTTTATCATTGGGTGCAAATGGTACCATTTGTAAGTTGTTTCCTTAGTTAATCTTACTATAAAAAGGTGTATTGTCAGCAACATTTAATTGAAAGCCCGTCCAATTTTTAGTAACTAGGCCAAAAATCAAATCTGAAAGTTGCAGCATTTGAAATAGGAGTCTGACATGTTTCATTGTTCATCAATTAAGTTATTGTATTATTGTTATTTGGATGTGCTCTAGTCCTGGAAGTGCGTAATATATTCAAAGTTCACCTGAACGTGGTGGGAAAATGAGTAACATAGCAGTCTTGTAAATTATGTATCGCTATAGAGCATACAACTCAAGCTTGGTGTACATCTCAGACCATGATAATAAATGCTTCACATCAAATATTTATTTAGTGATATCTGCGATCTTCAAACAAAAAAATTCCACATGTGATTTGTGTACTAGATGTCTCCCTAAGATCCTGAAAACTCTATCACAAATTAACTTAAAAAAATGCTTGTTGGAAACTTTTTGTGTGAATATCTGGCAAATGCTGTAGCAGTTAGTATATTGCTCGTGTGCATGGCAAAAAGCTTCAAAATGTTTCAGACAATACAACTTTAAAATTGTCATCATCTATCTTTCCCATCCATGTAACCAGAATACAGATGCTTTGCGTACGTGTACTGTCAAAACTGTGTGTATAGCGACCACCTGAGGGACTTGTTGAGATTAGCAAATATGAAAGTTGAAGTCTTCGAAAAGTCATGCATTTTAAATGCGTTGTAAATGTAACATTGGACCCATATTAAATTTGATACATGTATGTCACATTAACCCTTGCCCTTATTGGTAATCCATGCAAAATATGATTACTTTTAAAAATGCCATTCTGGGAACATGTGTAAAACACTAACATGCAGTCTTCTATTTGGCTTTTAGACAAAGGTCATTTGACCAGACAAATGCCAAAGGGCAGTCACAGTTAATATTAGACTTTATATACTTGTCACTTTCATGCAAATTTCATTGAAACTTCCTAAAGTTGGCCATCATGATCAGATATATAAATGTCATGGTCACTAACACTTGTTTTAATAGTTGTTTAACAGTTTAAAACTGAGAAGAATACGAAACGTCACATACTACACAGTGTATATCTTTTCACATTGCTAGGTCATAATACCCAAGATTAGTTTGTAATCAAGTATATTTGGTACATATGTTAATTATTTTTATTTTAAAATTTTAAAATCCATGTATTCACTTCTGTACCCAAGAATTACCATTAATCCTTGTTCTCCTTTAATGTGATGGTTTCTTTAATGGCTTTAATCTTTTGTGTTTTACTATTTCTCAGATTTAAGGTTATAATTATAAAAGCCTTAATATCCCTGTTTTTCTTCAGCTCCTACTGTATTATACTGATTAATATACCAATAAATAACATTTATCAAGATAATGTTTTTGTCTTCTGTAATGAGAATGATTAGTTGGAGTAAACAACGAGACCAACTTGGGTCTGAATGAATTAATTTGAATAATGACTTTTGCTTACGAAACAAAACTGTAAAAGTCCAAATTCATTCATGGTCTCCAGACGTACCGGTAGTCCTTGTATTGATACAGGTCATGTGTACAGATGCTCTCTATTGATTTAAATCTGGAACATGCATTACCTTTTAACAAGGTCAATGTAAACTTGTATTCATATACCCGGTAACAAACTACATGATGCTGCAGATTATATTACCATCGAGGGAAAATCATTTGTGGCTGCATAGGCATAGGAAACCACAACATGATGATCTTTCACTATATTTTTTACTCTTCTGTCAACAAACTATGTACACTAGTTTTATCCAAGCTTAATTCATAATACTGTGCAGTGTTGCATGTACATTCTATAAAAAACAATTTATGATACTACACAGCCTAGTCATGATATAACATTTCATTTAGTAAAATTTGCCCAAATAAATCTTTGATACAGTAAATTATTATACACTGGTATTATGTTGGTTCACGTGGGTTAATATGCTGATGACTTTATAAGAATTTGCAAGTATCGCAATGTTTAAATTACAGACAGCTTTAATGCTGGATAGTGTTATAATGAATGA